GCGTCAGTCGAGGGGTTGAGAGAGAGTGCTTGCATGGGAATCTTGCTTGCTTTTGCTTGCTTGAGATGTGCTTGTCACAATGAGCTGTCGCAACAATCGCAATATCTGTGTTCTCAAAGGTGCTTGTTTCTGTCTCCCTGTCTCTCCATCCATCCGTCCTTCTCTGTCTGCTTTACTGCTGTGCAATTGTTGCTCTGCCTGTGCGTTTGCCTGTGTGTGCCTGCCTGTGCGCCTGTGTGCGTGTGTGTGAGAGCGCCACCACCAGGAGGTGGAGTTGGAGGAGAGGGCTGATGTGCTGGTGTCCGAGTGGATGGGCTACATGCTGCTCTACGAGGTCACCCACCACCCCCATCACCCCCATCACCCCCTTCACCCCCATCACCCCCATCACCCCCATCACCCCCATCACCCCCATCACCCCCATCACCCCCTTCACCCCCATCACCCCCATCATCCCCATCACCCCCATCACCCCCATCACCCCCATCACCCCCTTCACCCCCATCACCTCCATCACCCCCATCACCCCCATCACCCCCTTCACCCCCATCACCCCCATCACCCCCTTCACCCCCATCACCCCCTTCACCCCCATCACCCCCATCACCCCCATCACCCCCATCACCCCCATCACCCCCTTCACCCCCATCACCCCCATCATCCCCATCACCCCCATCACCCCCATCACCCCCATCACCCCCTTCACCCCCATCACCCCCATCACCCCCATCACCCCCATCACCCCCATCACCCCCTTCACCCCCATCACCCCGATCATCTCCATCACCCCCATCACCCCCATCACCCCCATCACCCCCTTCACCCCCTTCACCCCCATCACCCCCATCACCCCCATCACCCCCATCACCCCCATCACCCCCATCACCCCCATCACCCCCATCACCCCCATCACCCCCATCACCCCCATCACCCCCATCACCCCCATCACCCCCATCACCCCCATCACCCCCATCACCCCCATCACCCCCTTCACCCCCTTCACCCCCATCACCCCCATCACCCTTCCACCCACCCACCACCCACGCATTCCCCACTGCCTCTGCGCTTCCACCCTCTCCGCCTCCCTCCTTCCTTCCTTGTGCCTCCCTCCCACTTTTGTCTTCTTATGACATTTTTCTGGCACGTGATTTCTTCAACTCCATTTCCATTACTCTCCTTTCCCATTCCACTCGCACTCTTAACCCCAGCTTGATGAATCCCGTTGCCTCTGCCTCTGTCTCCGTCTCTGCCTCTGCCTCTGCCTCTGCCTCTGCCTCTGTCTCTGCCTCTGCCTCTTCCTCTGTCTCTGCCTCTGCCTCTGCCTCTTCCTCTGTCTCTGCCTCTGCCTCTGCCTCTGCCTCTGCCTGTGTATCAGACCATGCTGCCTGCAGTGATAGCGGCCAGGGACCGTCTGTTGAAGCCAGGGGGACTCATCCTGCCATCGCATGCCACCGTATGTACGTCACCATGCCATGCCATGCCATGGCATGCCGTGCCGTGCCATGCCGTGCCATGCCATGCCATGCCGTGCCACGCCATGCCATGCCATGCCATGCCATGTCATGCCATGCCATGCCATGTCATGCCATGCCATGCAATTCCATGATGTGCCATGCCTTTCCTATGGGACAGTTCACAAGATAGGCCAATAATTCACCCGGACCCACCAACCACTCTTTCCCCACGCGGCACCCTGCCTGATCTTCGTTGCCCCGTGCCCTATCCCATATCCCATATCCCATATCCCATATCCCATATCCCGTACCCCGTGCATTCAGCTGTTCATCGCTCCAGTGTCATGTGAAGACCGGTTTGAGGACGGCACAGCCTTCTGGAGCGACGTGCATGGCATCGACAGTGAGTCGTTTTGTGCTGTGCTGTGCTGTGCTGCATGCGTGCATGCATGCCACTCGCACTCACTGCACGCATGATACTGATGCCCGTGGCACAAGACATTCTGATTGCTGCAGCTTTAGTGTGACTCGTGAGTTTTGAGGCGCTTCAAGAAATTGCCGGTTTATAGACGACTTTTGCTTTTGAGGCGCCTCAAGAGTCAGCTCTAGTATGACTCATGAGTCCGTCCCTCTCACCCTTCACTCACACCCTTCAATCACTTCCCTCACCCACACACACCTACCTTTCCTCCCTCACTCCTCGCCTCTCATCCTTCTTCCCTCACCCCTCCGGCAGTGACGGCGCTGGTACCCCTGGCGAAGAAGTGCTATTTCACAGACCCCTGTGTGGAGAACATCACAGCAGAGCACATTCTGGGGGAGCCCTCAGTGGTGAGATGCAGGGTTTGGGAGCGGTGCACAGTGGTGGGCCGGTGCGGGGCGTGGTTATTGGTGGATAGGAGTGGATAGCGGCGGATAATGGGTGTGGCGAAGGCTAGTGGAAGGGGATAGTGGCTGAGGGAGTGTGGAGCAGAGGGTGGGTGTGGTGCAGAGCAGTTGGGATGCTTAAAATGCTCCTTCATCCCGAGCTCACTGATTTGTGCTGCATTTGAGTGCGTGCAATTGTGTGTGAGTGAGTGAGTGAGTGTGTCTATGTCTGAGTCAATTTGGGAATGTTCAAGCTTCTGCTTTGTGCTGCATGTGTGTGTGTGTGTGCGCGTGTGCGCGTCTGTGTGTGCGTGTGCAATGGTGAGACGTGCAGGTGAAGCGCATCGACTGTGCGACGGTGACAGAGGAGGACCTGCAGCTCGTAGAGGCAGACTTTTCTTCCAAGTCCATGATCGTGTGTGAGTGGTTGGTATTGTGTGAGTGGTTGGTATTGTGTGAGTGGGTCATCATTCTGTGTGAAGGGCTTACCACAAAACCATCACGAGTCCCTGTCCATGACCCTCACATCCTTACTTCCCGCATGTGCGCCCCTCCTTGCTTGCCTTCTCTCCCTCTCACCCGCCCTGTCTCTCTCGCCAGCCCCACTGACCGGTTTTGCCTTCTGGTTCTCCGTGGAGTTCAACAACCATCCCAGCCCTATCGCCTCGCCCACCCACTCCCAACCATCTGCTGCCCCTCCTGCTCCTCCTGCTCCTGCTCCTGCTCCTGATGCTCCTGCTACTGCCGATGCTCAGATTGCTGATGCCCCTTCCAAAGACTCCGTTCCCAGTGCTACTGATGCTGCCACCGCCCCTGCATCTGAGCCTACTGCTGCTACTGCTGATTCTTCTACTGCCGCTGCCGCCACCGCTAGTCCAGGGGGAGACAGCACAGATGCCATGGTGACAGACAGTGTGGTGCTCTCCACAGCACCAGAGGACACCTCAACACACTGGATGCAGGTGAAATTCCCCCACCGACCTCTCTTCTCTTCACCAGAGGACAGTCTTTTGGTTCTGGCACCTCAAGAGGGCATGCCTGCCTGCCAGCCAGCACAGTGCATGTCTTCCGTGCACGTGAAAAAAAACCCCGCTTCCTCACTCGCTTGTTCCCTCCTTCGTGATTGCCCCTTTTATCTTACACTTTTCCTTTCTCCTCGCTTCTCATCCCCTCGTCTCTCCTCCACGTGTCCCCGTATCTCTGACTTACGCTTCCCTGCTTCTCATTTCCCTGTCTCTCCCTTCCCTGCCTTACCCCCCTCACTTTCAATCCTGACTTCCCCTGAACACGCACCATCTCCATCCTCCTTGAATGTGTGCAATGCCGGACAGACGGTGCTGTATGTGGGGGAGATGTATCCGGTTCACCAGGATGATGTCATCAGTGGCCACGTCACCATTGCTCCCAATAAGGAATGCACCCGCTTCCTTGACATTGATCTCTCCTACCAGTAAGTGCTTTCCTTACCCTCCCCCACACCCCCACCTCGCCCTCTCCCGCCCCCTCCGCTCCACACCCACGCGACTCTCACTCTCTCACCGTCCCTGATCCCCCTCACGTTTCTTGCCACGCAACTCTCCCTCTGCTCTGCTCCTGCTGCATTTCTATAAAGCATGTTACCCATGCTCGGGCCATCATGCCATGGGCATGCTATGGTAGGTGTGGTAGGTCTAATGCTGCTGTCCTCCTAATCCGTCTCATACCATGATATCACGTTATCACATCCGTGGCACTGTTTCCGAGTGCTTCAGGACTCCTACCACGAGTGGTTCCAAGACATTCACTATGCGTTGATGAAAGCGGAGAGCACTTTCAGAGTGCACGTTTGTACCGCTGTAAAGATGTGAAATACATAGAAAGTGGTCCATTACACATGCTATCCTTGCGCATGATGGGTATAAGGGTTGCAGATATCCAAAATCAGTAATCACTAAAACTCCTGTTTCCATGAAGTTTACATGTTTGCAAGTCCAGAATCAGCTCTTGGCGTAGTTCGATCAGTGCAACATAGTGTACCCAGATACAGCAGCCGATAATGTTAGCTTCCTCGCAACATCGAGACCCGGTCTGACCGCATCGCACATTACGCTTCAGGGCTCCACGCGGCACCCACCAAAGTGGCTGTGCCAAATCAGCTGACAGGTTGCGCAGGCGGCGCGTGGGCGACAAGGAAACACAATTGCTCGCGCCTGCATGCGCAACCCAGACTTTTCCAACACAAAACTTCCGCCCTCTCCCACAGATTTGCCTTTCGACCCACCCAGGCGAAGCTGAGCCACCTGTGAGAGCGCCTCGATGGAGTGAATTTGATCAGCGCTGCGAAATTTTGTTCCAATCGGCTCGTCAGGTCGCTCGTCCCACCCTCATCACTCCAACATGCAATGTGTGTTGCCTGTCCAGCTGTGATGTCCCGTTTCCCTCGGATGCCTTCTGGATGGTGAAGAGAGGGATGTAGGAGGACAACTCGTTGGGGAATCGGGATCTTTTGTGTGGGGAACCCACTTCGCGTCACACTAAAGGAACGATCGAAGAGATTCAGCCAGTGTTAGCTCTTTACTCAGTTGTGAGAAGTTGCTAGATCCTTCCGTCTCCTGCTCTGCATATCGTGGCAGCGAATGCTAGACCCTCGGAATTACTTTCCCTGCAAAACTATCAATTTTTTTCCTGTAGGATATCTCCATGGTCCTCTTAATCTCCGAGTCGATGCTGCTTCGCAGCGCCGAAGACTGGCTTAACATGACCTTCGGCGTGCGGCCGGAGGATGTCGCGACATACCACCCAGTCTTTAAGGACGCGCTCCTATCGTCCGTGCGTACCAAGCTTCGTTACCCGGGCCTTCCCTCGCCGCATTGCCCCGCGAACCAGACTCTCTGGCCCCTGCCCGCGTCGATTACTGTCGGATCGCAACCATCCCGAGCCGCCGATTCCACTTTTTCGCTCGAGCGAAAAGAGTCGCATGACGAAGTATCGTTACAGGCATCCTTCTCGAGCCCGAAGGGCTCCGGCAATCTCGAGAATATCTCTGAACCTGTCTCGCCGCTCACGCCGCCGTCGCCCCAGACCCCCACCTTCTCTCCGCCCGTCTCTTTCTTCTCCCCGCGTCTCTCCGCGCCCTTCCGCCCGCTCCTCTTCTCCCCGTTCACCTGCGGAACCTCCTCCCCACCCGTGTCCCCCTCCACCTCAACGTCCCGCCACCACCCTTCCAGCAACGACATTCTATTCAAATCCCAGTCCCAGGACCTCCCCACTCCCGCTCTCGATCCCCCAGAACCGCTTCTGCTGACGCCTCCGTTCCTCACGCCGCATGACCCCGACGGTCCCAGTTCAACGGCGGCTGGGGGACGAGCCGGGGGGGTGCGCGCTTGCAGGAATACATGGGGAGAAAGCGCGGATGAAGGGGAATCCACTTCGGGATTTTCTTCCGGGAAGAGTTCCTCTGGTGGCGGCGGCGGCGGGCGGAAGGTGCGCGGACCAGTAGGCCGTTTACTATTCGATGATGAGGGGGACGGGGAGGAAAGGCGGAAGTGTGCGGGGCGGAAGGAAGTAGATTTGGAGGTGGATTCGAAAGAAGATCCCAGGTCGAGGAATTCGCAGGCTGCGGAGGGCAATCCGCAAAGGAGGAATCTGTCCTGCGAGGTAAAAGTGCATGCGGGGGGTGTGAGACTCACGAGGGACGACTGCGCGTTGTCCGCATCTTCCGAGTCTCCGTTTTCGCCGCGTGCACCCGCAGCAGACGCATCGGCGGCAGGGAAAGCTGCGAACGGCCGTCCGCAGTTCCCGGGCGGGCACGTGGCCGCAGCGGATAGGTGCCGGGTGCTCGCGGAAGAGACGGCGCGACTGGAGGAGGAGTACGAGGTGGGGGAGTGGCTGGGCAGCGGGCACTTCGGGTGCGTACGGGTGTGCCGGGAGCGGCGCTCGGGCCGCCTGCTGGCGTGCAAGTCGATCGACAAGTCGAAGCTCAGATACTGGTACGGTTGGGCGTGGCCGTGAAGGGTTCGGAGTGGTTGATTCGTTCCTTGCTGTGCGTTCCGTGCGTTCTGTGCATGCCTGCTCGCTCGAGGTCGAGATTCACGGGAAGGAGGTGCGATTTCCGATCTTATTTTGGAAACCCCGGCTACAATTGGACGAAAGAGCTCTCCTTGCGAGTGTAGTGCAGATCAAGCAAGAGGTAGACCTCAACAAGAAAGGTTTTTTCTTGTCATGTCCCCTCGACCCCCTGTGTTTGCGGCAGGGAGGACAGGGAGGACGTGCGGCGGGAAGTGGCGGTGATGTGCGTGGTGGGCGCAGGCGGAAATGATGCGGAGAAGGCGGGCGGCGCGGGGAAGACAGCAAATGGGGGAAACGAAAGTAGCGGAAGGCGCAGCGGAGGGAAGCAGTGCGGAGACGGAAAAGGGGGGTTACGGGAGGCGGATGCTGACGGGGGAGCGGCGGGCGGAGCGGAGAGTGGAACGGAAGGCGGAGAGGACGGCGGAGCGTGGGGCGGAGAAGGCGGCGGGTGCGTGCGGCTGCACGGCGTGTTGGAGGACGGCGCGGCGGTGCATCTGATCATGGACCTGTGCGCGGGGGGCGAGCTCTTCGACACTGTCGTGTCGCGCGGGCGACTCGCGGAAGACGAGGCCCGACACGTCATGGCGCAGGTGGGTCTTGGCGCAGGTGGGTCATTGATGCGCGCTGCTACGGCTGCTTCTCTCGTCGCAACATTCCCTTCGCGATGCATTTAGTGCCGACGACGTTAAATCGCCATGACTTATGTAATGAATGTCGTATCCTGTCTCCTTCTACGCTCGTTGCCCCCTCCATCCCCACCTCACCTCATCCCCTTGTGGCCCCCTGTTCCCCCCATCAGGTGGCAGCAGCGGTGCGGCACTGCCACGCGCTGGGTGTGCTGCATCGCGACCTCAAGCCGGAAAACATCCTGCTTCAACTCCACCACTCGCTCACTCCCTCCCGCCCTCCCTCCGCCAACGGACCCACCCTCCCCTCCTCCTCTTCCTCCTCTCCCTCTTCCTACTCCCCTTCCGCGTCCTCCAACGATTTTGCCGATTCCCCCTCGTCCGCGGCCTCGTGCCACCCGCTGCCCGCTCAAAGCAACGCTAGCTCCGCGCGCCGCTCGCACCCGTCCCTCCTTTCCCCCAACATCCGCGTGAGACTCGCGGATTTCGGGCTCTCCGTGTTCCTGCCCCCCGGGCAGCTAGTAAAAGGTTTAGCGGGCAGCCCGTACTATCTGGCGCCAGAGGTTCCGAGCGGGTGGTACGGGTTCCCGGCAGACATATGGAGCCTTGGCGTGGTGCTGTTCCTCATGCTGTCAGGACACGTACCGTACTATGGGCAGACAGACGCGGAGATTCTAAGAGCCATTGCCGTGGGGTCGCTGGAAGGGGAAGAGGAGGAGGACGGGGAGGGGCAAGCGGAAGGGGAAGGGGAAAGGGGACAGGTGGTGGGAGAGGTGGGGAAGGTGGAGAGGAAAGCGGGCAGGGGGAAGGAGAGGAAGGGGGTGTGGAAGAGGATGTGTGGGGAGGAGTGGGCGGGGGTGAGCGAGGAGGCGAAGGAGTTGGTGGCGTGGATGCTGAGGCGGCGACCGGAGGAGAGGCCTACTGCACAGCAGGTGCTGCTGCACCCGTGGATGCAAATGAGAGGCACGGGGGGGATAGGTGCAAGGGAGGATGGGCAGAGTGCGGGGGCGCGTGTGGAAGAGGTTGGTGGAGGGAAAGGTGTGAGCAGGACGGAAGAGGGTTGTGAACTGCAGAGCAGGGGGGCCAGCGGTGAAGGGGATGGTAGCAGTGCTGCCTCCAGCACCAGAGCCAGATCCAACATCGCAAACAGCAGCAGCAGCTGCAGTAGCAGCAGTAGCATCAGGGGCAGCAGGGGCAGCAGCCGCGATGGAGAAGTTACGGAAAGCATAAGTAATTCGGGCGCCTCTTCTCCTCCTGTCCCTGCCCCTCCTCCTCTTCCTCCTCCTCCCCCTCCTCCTCATCATCATCCCCATGCTACCACTGCCACCAACCTCCTCCATTCCGGACCCACCACCCTTGTCTCTCTCCTTCGCTCCCCATTCTCCTCCCCACGCGACCCTTTCTCCTTCCCCCACTCCCGCCTCCAACCGTCTCCGGACCAAGCACCAGGTGCAGGAAACGCAACTAGGTCTGCGCTGTCCCCGTCCCCTTTACAAGGCGCTGCGATACAAGGGTGTGTTGAGCCGCCAGTGCTGCACGCCCTGTTGGTTTGCTCCGGTCCTGAGCTTGGAGAAGAGTCTAGTGGGGTGGCGAGCGGTGCAGGGGAAGAGAGAGGGGTGGAGTGGAGTGGAGATGTGGCTGTCGTTCAGGAGGAGGCAATGGTGGAATGGAGTAGCGGGGAGGTAGAGCGGAGAGGGGAGCAGGAGGAGTTGGAGGAAGCAGATGGAGGGGAGGATATTTGGGAGAGAATTGAGTTGTCGGAGAGTGACGGGGACAGCTGCAGGAGCATCAGCAGTGTATGTGTGGGTGGTGGATATGCGAGTTGCAGTGCTGATGCAAGTGAAGCAACTGTGGTGCAGGACTCGAATGGTGACCACAGCAGCTGCCTCGGGGAAGAAGAGTGGCAGGAGCAGCAGGAGCAGCAAGGGCGGCAGCAGGGAGAGTTCGCCAAGAGCAGCGGTGGCAGCAGTGGGAGCAGTGGTGGCAGCAGTGAGAGCCGCCGTTGTGGGATGGGCGCAGTTGCCACGGTCGAGGGAGGTGTAGTGGCGGAGGGTGCAGTGGTGAAGGGAGTGGTGGACGGAGCAGTGGTGCAAGGGCAGACACATGATGTGGGAGGTAAGGGAATTGGGCTGGATACTCCAAGAGGATCAGCGTGGCTGGGTATTCTGCCATCGGAAAGGGATTTGTGCTCTCAAATGGAGTTTGTTGAGAGCTTCTATTTGCTGCTGTAGGCAGCTAAACATCCACTTAAAGACGTATTGTTGACCTCTGTGTGAGGAGGTCCGATACTGGTGTGTCAAGCCTTATGTTGACTTGAAATTTCAAAATCGTAGTGCAGTTCAAAGCATAAATCTTGCAGACACTTAGGTCGTCTCTCCAGCAAGTGTCAAGAGAGGCTAGTGTCATGACACTAACCGAGAAACCGGTTGGAGGACTAGACCTCCTGGTGTCAAGAAGTGGTATCTCAGGAAGTTGACCTGACACATCGCAACCCCCCCCTGCGACTTCTGACAAATCGCACACCACCCAAACACCTGCAAATGTCCCCAATCGCACATACACATCTTTCGCGCGCCCGCCAGTCTTGTGCAACCAAAACCGTTAAAATTCGCGGCGGGAATTGGAAACACAACCACTGGCCCAACTGCCTGCAACACTAGATCTGTGAACACACTTCGGCATGTACGAACACACCAACACAGATCTGAACATCACAACCCCGAAGTGACCTCCAATTGAACAACCAACGCTGCCATCGTCACATCCTCCATCCAGCATGCCGCCACGCAAGAAAAGCAGCCAGAAAGGCAAGCAGAGGGCGGATGAGGAGAAGCCGTGGGTTGATCCCCCTTACGTCGTCTGGATGAAAGCGCAGGAAGCAAAAGGGGCAGCTCGCCCACGCATCGCGAACGAGGCTGCCGACGCCCCACGACCATCCGCGCCGTACATCGCCCACGACGAGGACGGCGCTGCCGAAAATATCGACGCAGACTCTGACGTCGACTCTGACGAGCTCGAGGAGATAGTGTCATCGAGTGACAGCGAGGCAGATTCGGACAACAGTGACGCAGACGAAAGCGAGGACGGGGATGACGAAGATGGCGACGCGACGACTCGAGCTGCAGCCGGGCGAAAACGGCCCCGACGCAAGTCCCGCGCGAAGACGGACAACAACTACAATACAGAGTGGGCTCCAGAGGAGCTTGTGGAATTGGCTGCGGCCCGCTGGAACACCCGAGACGACATAAAGGCACTGAAAGGGAAACAAGGATCGCAGTACTGGAAGAAACTGCGGAAACATATGAAGAAGGCAAACCCGGGATGGGATCGCGAGAGCGAGCCTATGAAGCAGGCCTGGAAGCGCATTATGGCGGACTACCGCAAGCTGGCCCGCAAGGACATGGGATCTGGTAACAAAGCAACAAAGAAGCCACGATGGTGGGAATATGTGCTGAACCTCAAGCATGGCACGGCGGCCGTTAGGCCGCATGTGGTGGATGGCGGAGGAGCGGGCGTGACTGACGTGGACCCTAACGCGTACATTCCCGGCCCAAACGACGACAGTTCTGGTCCGTCAGGCACACCTGCTCCTATGGCCGCCGCTTCAGGTAAGTCTGGAATTAGTGTGGCGCATGCTACCAGTAGAGTGTTTTATTCCCGTAATAAACCCAGAACAAGACGACCATGCATTCCCTGGCACATACACATAGGCGCCTAAATTCCTTCTTCATCGCCCCCCTCAATTAACACGACCATCACAGGAGCTGGCACGCCGGGAAAGACAACAAGGCGTCGCGTAGACGAGACGGCAACCATGGGTGGTGCACGCATGATCTCGGACACCATTGTCGCCTGCACGAAGGAAGGCCTGCAGCAACTGAACCAAATGGCCCAATTTGTGGTGGCGGCTATGACCCTGGCTGCACATGGCTTGCCTCCGCCTGCGAGTGCTGCCCGTCCGGAGAATGCAACGGCAGATGGGAATGGCAGACCCCTGCACCCGCCCACGCAGCGCCCACTGTTCTCCGCACCAGAGACGCGCAACGATGCCAACCCTGGGCCATCTACGCAGCCGCTGTAGCTCGGAGAGCCCGATGACGACGTAGGTAAGCACGATGAATGTGCTTTCCGAAGTGTTTGCGCCGTGATTTCAGCGCAGCTGCAGTAGCCCTTGATAGCACTGGCCAGACATATGTTGACATGCCGGAACGTGTCCACCACGGGCTGCCATGGGTGTTCCAGAAGGATGCCCGTGGGTTTCCAGTTCTCATCCTCGGCGTTCCCATGCTGGTGAGCATGTTATGCAGAATAATGATACATGCAGTTCCCGCACACACCCTCCAGAGTTTGCATTCGTGGCGTCTGCCGAATAGCCGCCACCGGTTCTTCAGCGCGCCGATAGTACGTTCAACCACCATCCGGGTGGCCGATTGCACCTTGTTGAAGCTCTGCTCCCATCTCTTCATCAACCGTTTCCTTGGTGCGTGCAGCGGGACAAGACAGTAGTCGCGCAAAGGGTAAGCCGCGTCGGCGACCAGCTGGTAAGGAGCGATTTCTCCATTCTCCAGCCTTGCGGAGAGTGTGGATTGCATGAAAACGCATTGATCGTGGTTAGATCCTGGATTCCCGACGTTATAGTCCCAAATCATGCCCTTGGCATCACATGTGACTTGCAGTTGGACCGAGTAGTGTGACTTTCTGTTATAATATTCTTGCCTGTGCCCCTCCATACCCCGTATCTGAATATGGGTGCCGTCGATGGCGCCAATCACGTTTGGAACTCCTTTCACCGCCCGGAAATCGGCTGCCATGGCTGCATGGGCCTCTGGTGGTGGGAACTTGACCCATTCGCGTTTGAAGCGCCGCGGAAAGTGCAGTAAGAAAGCGTCTACCAATCTGTGCAGTAATGCACTTGAAATGCCAAAAATTAGTGCCAAGTCTACATATGATAAACCTGATGCAAAATACTTGATAGGAATAAGTATACAGAGTTGAATAGGGATGTCATGGCGGTCCACAAATTGAGACATAGGGACTTGCATGGCGTCAGAGATGTAGTGCAGGATATCGCGGGTAATGCGGAAGACATTCTGGAACTCGGCGTCAGTCATTACACGCAGATCCTCCTGCCACTCCATGATGCGTGTCAGGCGGCGCCGGCAGCGGACATCACGGCGCTCTTTTGCTAGACGCGCAGCTCCCTCTTCCACGGGTTCGACGTTGTTACTGACGGCAGATTGCTGGAGTAGCCATTGCTCGCTTGCTGCAGCAACCATGGGGATGAAGACGAGAGTATAATACGCACACCAATGTTGCATTACAGCTAGAAGCGCAGTGGCGACCTTCGGGTCCATGATGTAATATGCCTTCGCCAATTTCGAGTGGATCGCATAGAGCTATTACGTGGTTAATTTTAGTGGAATACCTCACGACGTTGGTTTTTGTCTTTGCACGAGGTGAGGGTTCTGCGTGTTTAAGTCACGTAGAACTTCGGGTAGCGGGGTTCGGGTGGTGCGTTCGTGCATTTGGTGAGGATGTGTTGCGGCAAGTTAAAATTCGGACGTGAGTGCTGCCGGTTGGAGGCAGTTGGCGGTCAATATTCGGTCGTGCGGGGGGTCGCCTGGATCACGAGGGGATGGGATGGGGATCGCTGGAGGTTCGCTCAATGTTGGCAACATTGACACCAACCTGGAGCCGCGCATGGGAGCGACCCGACCTGGTGTCAAGCGCATTCCCCGCTTGACACTAGCCTCTCTTGACACTTGCTGGAGAGATGACCTTAATCTGCCATTGTGGGAATAATTGGTAAATTTCCGTTTTATTCCTATGGTCCAATATGTATTAGGTTATGTGTTAGTGTTATTGCTAACAAGCCAATGAAATTCAAGCTCTGGTCAGAAATTCGAGGGAGCCAGCAGCAAAGCCAAAGTTGGCCAAATTCAACTGATCTCGAGGGAATTGCGAATTTTTGGCGGGAACGACGAGGATCAGTCCGAGACGCCGTGCGTGCAATCCCCATGTGGGATGTGCCTGACGGGTGAGGTGTGCTGTGCTGAACCGCAACAAAGCTGCTCATATTGTACGTGGTAGATTCGTTTTTATCACAATTTGAACATGGTGAGGACACTTCGTGAATTAGTGCGCGACGCTAGTCAGACAAACGAGTCTCCGTAGCTCGTTCTCACCATCCCGGATGACGGTAGCTGCTGCGAGCAGCTGACATGGCGGACCCGCCCAACCACGCGACGCCGTTTTTGCCGCAGCCTGGCTCGCCGGCTGCGGGATCCGAACCTCTTGTCACGTCGCCCGGATATCGCACGTTTCAGGTATGGGGGAAAGTCGCTTTTCGAGTGGACTCAAAATTCGGCTTGCGCCTCTTGTCACGTCGCTCGGACACCGCACGCTTCAGGTCGGGAGGGGGAAGGTGGAGGGAGGGTGAAGGAGGAAAAGAGTGGGAAACGCTTGAGTGTCATATATTGGTGATATTTTTTACCAGTTTCAAGTGTGACTCCAATTTGTGCTCCTCTCCTGGCGTCGTGGTAGTGCGATCCGTGATTCCTCTCATCTCGGCGTCGCCAGTGGGCCGTCTATTTGCACCGCATCGCGTCATTCCCTTGTTATTACCTACTGTGGTTGTTTCTTTTGTTCTCTCTTGAGAATTCTCAAAAGTGGTACAATCGTTTTCCCTCTTCAGAAGGCCGTGCTTAGTCCAGACGTACCATTCATTGCTCCCTGTCATCCCCATCCCGTGTTATCCAATCAGAGGCCGCCACGTGCTGCAGTAAGGCAGTTGTTCCCCTCCACTGGGACAACTGCCACTCGTGCCACTCAACCTGCTGCTTCCAATGTTCTCACTGCTCCCACGGCTGCCGCTGCTGCCACTGCTGTCACAGCTCCCGCTGCTCCTGCTGCTCCCGCTGCTCCACCACCGATCGCAGCAGCTGGGCATTCAACACTCAGTGGTAACCAGCAGCGGATGAGCAGACCCAATGACGCCCGCAACACCGCCGTTGGCAGCAACAGCAGCAGCAGCAGGAACGTCAACAGAAACGCCAGCAGCAGCAGCACCCACGGCAATGCCAGCAGCCGAACTGCTGCTGCTGCTGCCAGCGGCAGAGCCAGCATCAGCAGCGGCAGCGGCAGGGGAGGCACAAGCAGCAGCATCATGAGCAGCCTTGCTGCCATTCCGTCGAATCTAGCTGCTGCTGCTCTCACCACCTTCTCACCCTCTCTCGCCACTGCGCTTTTTGGCGCCGGTCGAAGTAGCTCCATCCTTCCCACGCTCTCTTTCTCCCCATCCTCTTTTCCTGCCTCGCCAACCCTTCTTCCTGCTGACCTCACATCCATCCTACCATCTCTATATGCATCACTTAATGGCTCCTCCTCCTCTTCTGCTTCTGCTACTTCCACTTCTTCCTCCTCCTCCTCCTCGTCCTCCTCGCTTTCGCGACACCCCTCCATCAATCTCCCCTCCACCTCTCGCCCCCCCATAGCCCCTCATTCGCAGCCCCTTCACGCGCTAGCTCGCGCCAGAAGGGCATACGCGTCAGCAGCAGCTCCGATTTCCGCACCTCCGGCACCATCCACTGCAGCAGCGAGAGCAGCGGAAAGAGACGATCCAACAACAGCAAGAACAGCACCACGAGAAGCAGCAGAAGCATCGGCAGGGCCGTCAGGTGTAAGGTCTTGGTCGTCGCACCAGCAAGCATCAGAGCACACGCCTTTGTTGTCAAGTGAGGGAGGGCAGTGGCAGCATGCGAGCGGGGTGGACTGGGATGGCCCTGCTGGTCTGAGAAGGGGCGATGTTGGTGGAGTGGGGGAAGGGGATGGAAGCGAAGGGGGAGAGGGAGGTGGGGATGGGGAGGGAAGGGGGGGAGCAGAGGAAGATTTGGAGGATGAGAGCAGGACTCCGGTTTTCCGTTCAGCGCCTCAGAAGGTAGTGCATGCACTCTCCATACGGTAGTAACAACAAGTCTGGGAAGGCATGTGAGTGAGCGTGTATCCACTCCGTATGTTTTTCTTGCCACTGCAAGTTCCTTTTTTGAACCACAGTCCGGTCGATCTGCTGCTCTTCCCTCTCTTGCCAGCAGCACCAACTGTCCTCGTCCCATAGTCATTCATTTGCCTTGTGCACATCCACCCACCCTCCCACCCTCCCTGCATACACCCACCCTCTGTCCCCGCCTTACCAGCCCACAGCAGTTCTCCTCCAGATAATGTTTCTCGTGAGTTTCCTGCTGTGACCCTACCTCTCCACCCTTTGCTTCCGCTTCCCGTTATCTTCGTGTTCTTTCCTGTAATAAGGCGCTCCGCCATCTCTCTTTCTCTCGCCCCCTCTCTTACCTTTCAAACCCCTATCCTCCCACTCTCGTCTCTCCTCATCCCTCAAATCCCGCTTTCCTCCTCCCGTGCCCCGCGATACAACCTGTCACTCACGAGAGCTCTCAAACGTGACTATCCCTTGTTGCGTTGCGTTGCCTTGCCTTGCCTTTCCCCGCTTCTTCCTCCGCACCACCTGTACCTGCACGCCTGGGTCACTCACAGGCTCAAGACGAGTGGCTGCTGCTTCTGGTGGCAATGCTGCCTCTCCTCGTCTCCGCCCTCACCACCCTGGCTCTGGTGTGTGCATGCGTCTCCACACCACACACGCCTCACCACGCACGCCTCTCTCACGCTCTCCTTTCCAGCATCTTTGCTTCCATGGTTCATCTATTTCAACCGATGCCAAGGTGAATCTCAGGCTGCCCCTTAATAGCCTCAATCCTCTGTCCCTTCACTCTCCGCACCTCCTCCCCCACAACCACCCCTCTCGTCCCCCTCCCCCCCCCTCCCTGGCGCTACCAGGCGCACTATGCGGGGCGGGTGGTGGCGCTGGTGAGTGGGGCGAGCAGGGGCAGCGAGGCGGCGTGGAGGGCGTTTCTCGCGCAGCTCACAGAGACCATCTTCTTCATGGCTGCCTCTGTTGTGCTGGGGTACGCTGCTCCCATGCTCCCACACTCCCTTGCACCGCATGTACCAATTTCTGAGGTGCTCTCAGAGATGTTTTCTACGTGGCCCATGCATGGCTGTGCTGTGGGTGCCATACCTTAGGGTGGTTCGCACGTTCCTCTTTCTCAGCTGTCTGAGAAATCCTACATAGGCACCGCTAGATTTTTTTTTTTTTTTTTTTTTTTTTTTTTTTTTTTTTTTTCATGTTTTATGTGCACGGCAGGGCGGTGGGCACCATGGTGCGGACGTTCCTCTTCTCATCTGCCAGTGAGCGCGTAGCGGCGCACATCAAGACCAAGCTCTTCCGATGCCTGCTCGCCCAGGTACTCCCAGGTACGGTACTCGCCGGTACGGTACTCCCAGGTACAGTACTCGCCGGTATGGTGCTGCTAGGTACGGTACTCGCTGGTACGGTACTCGCTTCGCTGGTATGGTTGTCCTGGGAATGGTTTTCCTATGTACGGTACTTACAGGTGCACAAATCCCCGCGCACAAATCCCCTCTGCACCCCCACCCGTCTCCCCCCCCAGGACATGGCACTGTACGACAGTGTGCGGGTGGGCGAGGTGGCAAGGCGGCTGACAGACGACACGGGGCTGGTGAGGAGCGCGCTGGGCACGGGCACACCAGAGGGCCTGCGCTCCCTCTCCACTGCTGCCTGCGGCCTGCTGCTCATGCTCGCCATCTCGCCCACTCTCACAGGTCGGGGGGAGTATAGGGGAGCAGGGAGGAGTGGGAGGGAGAGTATGGGTGTGTAGGAAGCGAGTGCGGTGTGTGTCAGGTCAGGGCATGGCCAAAGACGCAGCAAAGAGGTGCTGCTAGTGGAGGGTCTGGGTATGCCATGCGCCGCTTGCGCTGCTTCTAGGGCTCAGCTCAAGCCCACAGGCCTTGCAATGCAACACTCCTTGTTGTCATCTTCCCAATCTTCCCAGTCTACCCGATCATCGCTCCTAAGTCTTTCAATGGCTATTCCACCTCAACTCCACACCATGCAACACCTGAGTCTCTCATCCCCACCTTCCCTCTTCCACTATCCCACCCTCCTACCCGCCCACATGCCCATCTTAACACAACTCCCTCACGCCTACCACTTCCCACGGAATACCAGTGCTGGCGCTCGTGGTGCTGGTGCCCGTGGCAGTGGCAGTGCGGCACTACAGTTACGCCATTAGAGCCCTGGCCAGGGACGCCCATGCTGCTGCTGCCACTGCTGCCGCCGTCGCAGAGGTGAGTCGGGTGGGGCCTTGTGTAGGGAGATGCGTGGGCGGGAGTGGAGGATGTGGTGGGAGAAGGCGGACGTGGAAGGGGGATGTGGTGAGGGAGAGGGAGCAAGGTGGGGCGAAGGAGGATGGTGGTGTATGGGATGATAGTGCTGGTGGGACTGCATGTGGTTGATTTTTGCACATTATAAGGTCTAGAGGTGTGTGCTTTTCCTTGTTTTTTTTTTTTTTTTCTGTGACGCACAGGAGCATTTGTCAAAATTAGTGTATGAGCGTGCGGTGCAGCGTATGAGCGTGCGGTGCAGCTTATGAGCGTGCGGTGCAGTGTATGAGTGTGCGGTGCACTGTATGTGCGTGCGGTGCAGTGTATGACAGTGCAGTGGAGAGTATGAGCCTGCGGTGTGCTGTATGAGCATGAAGTGCAGTGAATGAGCCGGCGGTGCAGCGTATGAGCGGGCGGTGCAGCGTATGAGCGGGTGGTGTAGCGTATGAGCGGGCGGTGCAACGTATGAGCGGGTGGTGCAGCGTATGAGCGGGCGGTGCAGCGTATGAGCGGGCGGTGCAGCGTATGAGCGTGCGGTGCAGCGTATGAGCGGGCGGTGCAGCGTATGAGCGTGGGGTGCAGTGCGGTGCAGTGTATGAGCGTGCGGTGCAGTGTATTTGCATGCGGTGCAGTGCGGTGCAGCTTCTGTGCATGCACGCGTGCACATCGCTCAAAATGCTTCTCCTCCACATTACCATACCACCATGCCCACTCCATCCCATACCCCACCCCAGGAAGTGCTGCAGGGCATTCGCATGGTGCGGTGTTTCTCGCAGCAAGAGTGGGAGCACAACCGCTTCGCACTGCTCACCAGACACTGCATGCACATGGGCGTCACACTCGCGGTACCATCCCCACCCACCTTCCTATATTATTCTTTTGTCCACACCCTCGCGGTGCCTCCAACCGTCGCCCTCACCCCTCGCGCTCACCCCTTGCACTCATCCCTCGCGCTCACCCCTCGCCCTCATCCCTCGCGCTCACCCCTCGCGCTCACCCCTCGCGCTCACCCCTCGCGCTCTTCCCTCGCGCTCACCACTTCACCTGAAGACAAGTGCTTCTTCCTAACTCCCTCTGGATCAGTGCTCAGTGCACACCTGTCAGCTTCTGTGTGGTCCAATTTCATTTGTCACATATTTCCATCTCTTTCACCATTCTTCCTTTAACCCCCTCTCCTCCCCTGTTCGCTCTCCTCCTCCTCCTCCTCCTCCTCCTCCTCCTCCTCCTCCTCCTCCTCCTCCTCCTCCTCCTCCTCCTCCTCCTCCTCCTCCTCCTCCTCCTCCTCCTCCTCCTCCTCCTCCTCCTCCTCCTCCTCCCCCCACCTTCCCCCCTTTCACAACCCTCCCCCGCCCACGACCACTTACATCAGTTCCGAGTGGGGCTGTTATCAGGAGCAGTGTATGCGGGTGCAGGGCTGGCAGTGGTGGTGGTGTTCGCGTATGGAGCATACCTGTCAGCCGCGGGAGCCGTGGACATAGGGGACCTCGCATGCTTTATACTCATTGCTGTCACCGGTACCGTGCCTTCCCATCATGTTACGCCATGCCACGTCATGCCTTGCTACACTGTCCCGCGCCATGCCACGTCATGCCCTGCTACACTTTCCCGCGCCATGCCACGCCATGCCACGCCATGGCACGCCATGCTTTGCCCTCCCAAGCCGAGCTTGGTTGATCTTTTGTTCTCTACCACTTCCTGACCCTCTTCCTTCTCCCCTGCTTCTCCAATCTTCCTCCTCTCCTCAGTCTTACCTCCTCCCTTCATGCCTCCGCTCCTCTTCCTTTCCCCCCAACCCCTCCACCCACCCTTTCTCCTTCCTCCCACGGCACCCACCGTGGGCGCAGTGGGCATGTCCGTGGCAAACCTAAGTGGCATATACGGCACGATGGTGAGGGCGTTGGGAAATGAGGGTGTTTTTGATACGTCTTAGAAAAATCCCCCCAACCCCTTCTCCCTCCCATTCTCCTCCCTCCCACCGCACACCACTCGTGGGTGCAGTGGGCATGTCCGTGGCAAATCTAAGTGGCATATACGGCACGATGGTGAGGGCGATGGGGGCAGCGGAGAGGGTGCTGCTCATGCTCAACATGCACCCGCGCATGCCACCCCATGGCAACCGATGCCCTCCCATGTATGTCCCCATGCGCTCATGCCTGCATGCTGCCAGGCCATGATGCCACCATGCCACCATGCCACCGTGCCATGATGCCACCATGCCACCGTGCCATGATGCCACCATGCCACCATGCCACCGTGCCATGATGCCACCATGCCACCATACCACCATCATGCCATCGTCCATCACTTCATCTCCTCCTGTCCCCTCTTGCTCCATCCACCTTGCCTGCCCTAACCCTCTGAGTTTCCTCATGCGTCCCTCCTCAACCCCTCTGATCTGATCCCCCTCCTTTCTCACTCCCCGTCCTCCTGTACACACTCCCTCTCACGGCCAGGGGCGGAGAGGGGCCATGCCTGCTGTTTGACAGAGTGTGGTTCGCATACCCCTCGCGACCGGAGCACTGGGTTATCAAGGTGAGCATGGGAGGAGCGATGCGAGGAGAAGATTGGGTAGAGGAGGGCGAGGGACAGGGTAGGCGGATGAGTGAAAGATGTGGCATGGAGGCAGGCAGGCTGGTTATAGTGCGATTGTACAGTGTTGTGTGCATTAAAACCGTTTTCACAAAGGCCTTTGTGCATTAAGAATACCATTTTCATGGAGCAGTCACGCACAGCCCTCCGCGTTCTCCTGTCGCTTGTCACTGCCCCGCCTCCCTCCCCACTCCCTCCGCTCTGCAACTCTCCCTCCTCACTGTGCGTCCTCTCTGCGGTGCTCTTTCCCCCCATTCCCCACACTCGCGTGTGTGGCGCCATGATCCCAGGGTCTCCAACTCGCGTTGCCATGGGGGCATACAGTCGCTCTTGTGGGGGTCAGTGGAGGGGGCAAGGTATGTGGGAAGGCGGATAGGCAGGCTTGTGAGAATTATCAAGTTACACAATCAAGGAATGTATGTTTGGTTCCAGAAGTGAAGTGTGGTTTAAGCATGTGATTACAGAGAAATGACAATGCGCTGTATGATGTGCTGACACCTACAGAATTCTGTGTGGTAGACTCTCTTGTTCCGTCGCAGCTGGAATAGACTCCTTGGGAGGGATAAGCATATGTATCTGCTTTTGAGTCGACTCAAAAGCAGGCTCCTTGGGAGGGATAAGCACGAGGATATGGGTTCGAACCGCAGCAAACGGAGTGGTCTCCTTGGGAGGGATAAGCATATGTATCTTTCCGAGTGCCTGAGTTCAGCTCAGCACCAACACATGTGACTATCCTCTCTTTTCTTCTTCTCCTCTTCCCACCTGCCCCTTCTCCCCTCGCTTCCCTCTGCTCCCTCGCCTCCTCTCTCGCCTTCTCATGCAGTCCACTCTGCTGTCACTAGCGCTGCGCCTGTACGACCCCAGTGCGGGCCGCATTCTGCTGGCAGGCGTGCCACTGCCTGACATCGACAGCAACTACCTCCACTCCAAGGTATGTGGATTTTACTTTTGAGAATTCTCAAAAGTAAAATCCTTTCTGCTGGCGGGCGTGCCACTGCCTGGCATCGACAGCAACTACCTCCACTCCAAGGTGCCTCCCTCTCTCCGCCTGCACCCCCCTGCCTAGTCTACCTTGTCCCTGGTGAAGTGTCGTGAATCTCGCACTCCTGTGCACAAGTGTTTCACTTGTTCAACGTGTGCAGTTGGCAACACGTTGAAGTCCTGCCATTCCTTGTGAACTGCCACTAGCCCCTTCCCTCCCCTCCTCCCCCGTTTTCATTTCTCCCCTTGCCTCTCCCTCTCCCTTGGAGGGGAGGGAAGGGGCTCCCCCTTTCAGACTCCCCTTGCCTCTCCCTCTCCCCCTCACCTACTCGCCCTCCCCCTCCCCCTTGTGCCAGGTGTCAGTGGTATGGCAGGAGCCGCTGCTAGTGAGCCGTTCAGTAGCAGCCAGCATCAGCTACTGTATGCCCACCCCCGTGCTTCTCTCCCCTCTCCATCTCGCGATTCCCCCTCTCCCCCAGGTGTCAGTGGTATGGCAGGAGCCGCTGCTGGTGAGCCGTTCAGTGGCGGCCAACATCAGTTACGGCGTTACCACCCCCGTGCCCCTCTCAGCCATCCAACGCGCCGCCACCATCGCCAACGCTCACCACTTCATCTGTGCTCTGCCGCACGGGTAGGTGCGGGAAGAGGGAGGAGATTGGGGAAAAGAGGGATCAAGTCAAGTCAAGGTACCTGAACAAGCAACACATGGGTGCAGAAGCCTGCCACTTTACTCTTCCTTTCCCTCACCCCTCCCACCTCCTGCCCTTCCATGGTTCCATGCAACGCCAGGTACGACACGGAGGTGGGGGAGAGGGGCGTGCGGCTGACAGGGGGGCAGCGGCAGCGCATCGCCATAGCACGTGCAGTCCTGCTGGATCCACAGCTGCTGCTGCTGGATGAGGGCACAGCCAAGAGTGATGCTGATAGCGAGCATCTCGTGCAGGTAATGAGCGGACTTTTTCTGTTAACTCTAGATTAAGTTGTTGTAGCGCGGGCGGTGCTTTTGAACCCACAGCTGTTGCTGTTGGATGAGGGCACGACCAAGAGCGATGCTGACAGCGAGCACCTCGTGCAGGTAAGGCGACACTGTGTCTCCTCTTCCTTTATTTGTTTTCTCACACTCCCCATCATGCGCCCTCACCTTCTACCCTCTCTCCGTCTTACCTCCCTCCATCCCTCCCTCCCCTCCCCTCCCTCCCACCCATGCGTCCCTCTTTCCTTGTCCCAACCCTCCCAACCTGCTCCAACACTCTGTCCCTGCCCCTCCCTCCCTTCTTCCCTCCGTGCACCTCTCCGCCACCAGGCAGCTATGGACGAGCTAATGAAGGGGCGCACAGTGCTCGTGATAGCCAATTTTGAGGCGCTTCAAACATGCCCTCCCTCCCTCCCTTGCTCCACTACCCATCCCACCAGGCAGCTATGGACGAGCTCATGAAAGGCCGCACAGTACTAGTGATAGCGCACCGGCTCTCTACAGTCAAGGCGGCACACACAGTGGCGGTGGTGGCGGGGGGAGAGGTGGTGGAGAAGGGCGGGCATGAGGAGCTGGTGAGCACAGGGGGCATGTATGCCCGCCTCGTGCGCCGACAGCTGCAGTCCCAGGGATCTCTCACTCTTAAGAGCGCTGCTGCTGCTGCCGCCGCTGCAGCCGCTGCTCCAGCTGCTACGGCTGCTGCCGGTGCTGCTGGGGTTTCTGGTATTGCTGCTGCTGGTAGTGGTACTGCTGGTGGTGCTGGTGATGGTGATGGTGCTGGTTCTGCTGCTGCTGCTGCTGCTGCTGCTGGCACTGCAAGTGGTGCTGGTTCTTCTGGTGCCGGTGCTGTCGCTCCCACTGCAGCTGCTGACAATCGTGGCAGCATCAGTGGTGGCAGTGTGGGCGAGGCCTCTAACATCCCGGCCTCTCTACCCCTTGCTGTTCCAGGCCCCTCCAGTACGAGCGGCACCAGTCGGGAGGGAGTGACAGGCTGGCAGGGAGCGAGGGGAAGGCAGGCAGGGGAGAGGGGCGAAGGAGAAGGGGAAAGTGAAGGGCACAGGCAAGGGGGTGGGGGAGGCCAAGGGGGTGGGGGAAGCCATCGGGAAGGGGGAGGGCAATGGGGAGGGAGAGGGGAAGAGGAAGGGAGAGGGGGAGGGCAAAGGGGAGGGAGATGGGAAGGGCAAGGGAGAGGGGAAGAGGAGGAAGGGAAACGTGTGGGCTTGAGGCAGTTGGGTGACACTCGTTCATGGCAACACTTGCTGTCACTGCAACGCCATTACTCCACCATCCCCTCCCACAACCCTCCGCCCGCCACTCCCTCAACCTCATCCCCCGTGCAGCCGTTGTCCCACCACACTCTCCGCTCCTCCTCCCTCACCATCCCCTTCCTTTCCCTCTCCGCTGACGTCAGCCCTCAACCTGCCTCCTCCTCCTATTACTCGTCTCCTTCCTCTCCTCCCTGTGCGCCCCCAAGCCATGCAACCGGTACCACTGGCTTTGCAAGTGCCAGGATTGAGGCGTGTCAACGCTCTGAGAGCTCCAGTAACCGTGCAGCATCGCCAGCAAGGGAAGCGACACATTTGTCACAGTCACCATCACAATCACCACTGTCACCACCATCACCACCATCACCACCACAATCACCACCTCAATCACTGTCACCGTCACCATCACCATCACCACCGCTCTTCACCCATCTGCTCTCCGACCTGCAACCTCCGATCTCTTTCCGAACACACAGCCTTCCTGTCGTTGAATCTCGGAGCTTCACCACCAGCAGCCTCCAACCCACCACCACCAACACCAGCACCACCAACCATCTCACCTCCTCATCTCTCCAACCCTCTGCCTTCTCCCCCTCCCCTTCTCCCGTCCCTTACCTTTCCTCCTCCCCTTCCACATCCCCATTCTCCTCCCCATCATCTCCCCCCATGCCCTTCCTCTCTTCGCGTCCCTTTCATGGCATCTCCACATTACTCGCTTCAGGCCAACCACTTGGCCCTTTCGTCTCTTCCACTTTCTCCTCCTCTCTCTCACTCATATCCTCTTCCATATCCGCTTCTATTTCCTCTTCCGTCTCCCTCCCCTCCTCATCCCTCCCACATTCCTCCACTTTCGCTCCCCATTTCCTTCTCCCTGCCTCCTCCCTCCCTGCCTCCTCCTTCCCAGCCTCAGCACTCTCTTCCTTACCCCTTCTACCATCCTCTCTTTCCTCTCCTTTCCATCCTGGACCTCTCCTCTCCTCTCACACCCGGCCTTGGTCTGAATCACACAGCTCATACCATCCACATAGCATGTACAGAACAGGTGGCACGCACACCATGCATGCTCTGCATACCATACGCGCTACCCATGCCACTGAAAGCACGCCACCTAGGACATACAGCAGCCATGGAATGCACAGCACCACTCTGAACCCACCTGCAGCTGCCACAGCTGGTGTCTCGCCTGCTGGTTCAACCAGCGGCAGCAGCACAAGTGGTGGCGACAGCTTTGTTGGTATTTCCACTTCTGCTGCTGCTCCCACTGCTGATTACTCCATGTCGCCAGGGATTTTGCCATTTTCAACCAGCGGCAGGAGCAGCGGCAGGAGCAGCAGCAGCAGCGGCGGCGGCGGCGGCGGCAGCAGCGGCGGCAGCAGCAGTGACATGGCATCAGCATCAGCAGCACAATATTTCCCGTCTCCTACAGCACCCACTGCCACTCCTCCTCACCGCTCCTCGCCTAGCATCTCCCGCTATTCTCATGTGCGCTCTCCGAATCAAACTAGAGCCCCACCTCCCATAAGAGACACAACAGGGGATTATACCTCTTTCAGCATGTCCCCCACCATCTCTCCCGCCATCCCCCCCACCATCCCCCCCACCACCCCTCCCACCACCCCTCCCACCATCCCCCCCACTCTCCCTCCCACTACCTCTGTCTATATCCCGCCTGCCATCCCTCGTTCCACTCCTCTCAGCACCTCAGCAACCCTCTCGACCTCCCACATGCCCTTCCCTCCTACCAGCACCTTGCACTCTCAAGGCCCCTATTCTCTAGCGCCCTCTGCCCAATTCTTTTCTCCCAGCCGTTCCCCAATGCTGCCTGTTGCTGCTGCTGGGGCAGAGGCAGAGGAAACGGGTACAGCAGGGAGTGATGGAAGTGTAAGCTGCAGCCCGTATTCCAGGAGAATTTTGAGGGAGCATAGTGGTGGAGAAGAAGCAGGCGAAAGAGCAGAAGCAACAGAAGCAACAGTTGCAAATGAAGCAACAGAATCAACAAGCTTTAGCAGAAGCGGTAGGTTACAGAGCACCACTGCTGGAGATGTCGCTGCAAGCCCCAATGCTCCTGATTCCTCTCCAGTTTCCAACAGCGTTTCGGTGGGTGCAAGAGGCAGTAGCACAAGACAGGACATTTACAGCAGCGTGTATGTGGCTGCACAAACAATGACCCTGCAACCAGCTGCAGCAACATTACTACAACCAGCAGCAGCATCACAACCACCACTGCAAGAAGCTGCAGCATCGCTGCAATTAGCAGCAGCACCACCGCCGCCAGAAGTAGCAGCACCACCGCCGCCAGAAGCATCCGCAGCAGTACCACCACCACCACTGCCACCGCCACAAGCAGCAGCACCAGGAGGAGGAGGAGGAGGAGGAGGAAGAGGAGGAGGAGGAGGAGGAGGAGGAGGAGGAGGAGGAGGAGGAGGAGGAGGAGGAGGAGGAGGAGGAGGAGGAGGAGGAGGAGGAGGAGGAGGAGGAGGAGGAGGAGGAAGAGGAGGAGATGGAGCAGCAGAGGCAATAGAGTGGCAGGAGGAGACAGAAAGGCATTTTGACACTATGCAGATGCCCATAGACAAGGGATCAGAAATGCCACTGCTGTTGAGAGGAGGTGAGGTAGGGATGGGAGGAGGTGAAGCAGGAGTGGCAGGCGCAGGCATACTCGGTGAGACCGCACGCTCGGGGGTAATCTCGCCAGCAAGTGAGGAGCTAGCAGGGCAGGTAGCATCAGATTCATAATCATCCATAGCAGAGGCTGGAGATGTGAGGGGAGCAGCAGAGGCGGAGGCTGGTGTGCCAGCTGTCGTCACCCAGAGAGGCCACTCATGAGTTGAGCCACGACTCGGCAATGCTACAGATAGCAGTAGCAGAAGCCAGAGAAGCCATAGCAGCAGCGCCATTGGCAAGTGCAGCTGAGGTGTCAGGAGCCGACACGTCAGCAGTATCAGCCATGGAGGCGGTATTTGCGATGCAAGTAGCGTCGACACCAGCTTCGACACAAGCTTCATCACAAGCCGCAACACGCACCTCAGGGCTGATGATCTCGGGTCAGTCTGTGCATTCAACACGCATATCCGCTCCAGTTGAAGATGCAGTGATTGACCTGGACAGCCCAGCAAGAGAGGTTTCTGACAAGGTGAGTCTAGTGACCGATGGAACAATCGACGGCATGAGTAGGAGTAGCTCCGGCTCAGCAAGTGGCTAGTTCCACCTGGTAGGATGGTGATTAGGTAGGTTGGCACAGGGGTCTCGTCTTGGCATTATTTCTGAAACACCTCTACGGTCAAGTGCTTCTGCTGTACAGCAGTCCGTTCAATCATTCAATGCATGACTGACTAGGCTCTAGATTCATTTTGGTCAACACTGCCAAATGCCGGGGTGACGTTAGAAATGACCCTGCTTCGCCCATTACGCAACTCTCAAGCCAGGTGGGTGGGCGGATGGGGTCAGAAGTCAACCCACTTCTGGCAAGGTAGCAGCAAATCTCACTGCAATACCATAGACAGGACTGAATGGATTGAATTCAACACCATATACACCAGCGTGAGCTGATTCCTTTCAGTCAGCAGTGGTAGTCAGAGCAGAGCTTTGAATCAACCAATCTACTAGTATGCACTGTTCAATCAAAAATACGGTAGGGGCAAAATCAGATGCACACATGCCAATCCTACGGTACTAGTACAACCTCTCTCTTCCACATCTTGAAATCTGTTACAAGAACACCTTCTCTTTCCAGCCCCACTGCTGCTGCATCCCTTTGCCCTGCCCCTCAATCCAAACCCCGAACCTTGCCCATCACCATCGCTCTCCACCCCTCCATCTCCATCATCCCCACATCCTTCCTCCCCAACTTCTCAAGCATCTCCTCCCCCATTTAAAACGCTCCCACCGCTACCAGCCGTCTCCCCACCCCACTCCTCTACCGCTGCTTCCAGCCACCACACCGATTCCCATAATCCATCAGCCAGTCTCTTTCTCCTACACCTCCACTCTCTCTTCTGTCTCTCTCTCTCCCCACGTCCACCCACCCACTCTCTCCGCGCTCCCATTTACCAGAACCACCAGGGGTCCTTCCACGGCGGCACGTAATCTCCTGTGGGAGCCGTCAGTCTAAACGAATCAATAGTCGTTCTTAAAGCTTCCTCCAGCTGCGGCCACTCCGAATCCACCGTGGACACCGTCAGGCAGTAAATGTACCCCTCGCGCTCCGCCGCCACCGCTAGCGACCGACGGAAAACGTCCTTCTCGCGCCCCGTCAGCATAGTCGGCGACTTCTGGTTCACGTACTCGAAGAGGTAGTACTTAAGAGGCTCCGAGGCGCCTTCCGCGGTGCGGAGCTCCTCGTACACGTCGCCGAGGATCGTTTCCTGTAGCCGTTGGATCGACGTCATGCGCGGGGACGTGCGATCGGCGAGGACTGACCGAGCGACATTCACGGCCGTCCAGCCAGAGGCCTTGGCGGTCTCGAGATCCGCCGCCGGCGGCGGCGGCGGCGACGGGAGGAACGCCGCATTCGGCGGGGAGACGGAGACGCTGATGACGAGGGAGCGAAGTGGGACGAGGCGCTCCGACACGATGCGCAGGCGCGCGTCCGGAGAGAGCGGCGCGGCGGAAGAGTAGCGCTCTGGCTTGCGCGTCTCGATCCAAACAATGTCACCGACGGGACCCGCAATCTTTAACGGGTACTCGTAAACGCATGCATTGATCACGTCAGGCTGCTTGGAAAAAACTCCGGTTTGGGAATTAACGGCAATGGCTGCTTCTGCTTCTGCTGCTGCTGCAGAAGGCGGGGAAGCGAGCAGCTGAGCCGCGGCTTCCCCGCACGCTGTCGCAACCAAACCTGCGAGAAGCGCGGATCGCCGCGTGCATGACGTTTCTGAGACCTCAGCGGTGGCCGACTCCTCTGTTTGTCTACTCGCGCTGCTTCCCTGCGGGAACTGAGCCTCCGCGGAGGCCCGGATTCCGCGCAGAGGGCGGCATGACGGGCGCGCGAATAGCTGTAGCTTTGCGCTTCCTGACGGAGACGACGCAGAGCGCAAGCCCTGGTGGCGCGGGAGAGAGAGCGAGGCGGTCGAATGCAGACCAGCCATCGCTGTGGCCGCCATGGCTAGGGAAATGGGCGGGGAAAAGTATGCCCTCGAGGAATTGACTCTGACCAGTCAATTCCCCTCAAGATAGGCACAATCGACTGTCGTGGAGGAGGCTGGCTGGCACCACGGGAAGGAGGAGAAACGCGCGAGTCATGTTTTCAGGCGCGCGCGCTATGATGGATTTCCCGCAAGCCGACGTGGCAGCCCGTGAGTGGAGAAATGGGCCCCAGGTCGGGGCGGAGCCGGGGGAATGAGTTGCGAGGGGGCAGGCGGAACGGGAACAGATCTGGGATAATGCGGGGTGGTTTCAAGGGGCATGCTTTGGTGTTGGCCTGATTTTCCCCCTTCTAGAAGCTGTGGATGTAACAAATTGACTCATGTACTAAGACGGTATACACAGACTGCGATAAGGATCTTGGCAAGGGACCACAATGTGAACTACCATTCTTTCACCGTATCATTCTAAACTGATTGAAGAATAGATAGATATTGGTGAAGAGATACTGTATGGGATTGTTGACTTAAACCAGTGATGCATAATCTTTCACATAGAATTCAATGTGCCCTTCAGGGCTCTTGGGATAATGGGGGCATCATCACCTGTGAAATAAAAAAAGCAGCCATTCCTCTGCATCATCCCACTTGACACATCGTCACCATCAGTGCAAACATATATTTAGCTGACCAGAGGCACATTTTGCCCCAGAACAGCCTTGATTACATCCGGGCCTGTTAAACAAGGAACTGAGTTGGCAGCAGCCCATTGGCGGGCTGAAGCAGCAGGGAGGGCCCCATAGTCATCACCGCTGTTGCTCAGCATGACACAGCCAACCTATAAAACAAAAGACATGAGGCATGTGAATGAAGGATAGAAGACATGACGTCTGTGTGCTGAACATTCAGCAGCAGTTTCCAAGGCAACAAGGAAACGAGCTGAGAGGAAATTGAACATCAACCAATGAGGATCAGTGCAATCAAACCGTGGGATGACAAGGATGATAGCCAAGTTAGGTAGGCTACATTGAAGTGTTGGACCATGTGGGGTTACACCACAGCGCTCGTCTGAGTCGTGATGTTAACCTACTACAGCGCTCAGCACCAGCTGACCAGGCAACCAACCACAGGCTTACACGGAGTCAGACGCTTTGAGTCTTATAGCGAAACCTCCTTCACCTTCGTCTCACGTATTCACGATGAAATGCCTCAGTTTCTCCGCATTCCTGTTTCAATCTCACAACTATATAAAGCCCCCTTTCTCTCTTCTTCCCTCTCCCCACTCCCTCTAGACCTCCCTAAAACCCATGCTCCCAAGCCCGTGCGCAGGAAGTCTCACCATGACGGGCGTGATCCCCGCGAGTTTCGCCAGAGCCACCGAGAGCTCCGTGTGCCCGCGCCTTCTGCGGAGGCCCTCCGGGTTTTCGATGCACAGGAAGATGTGCCCTGGCGTGTGGAACTCCTTTCCCAGCCGCCGCATTGCGTCCTCCTGCTCCGCTTGCCCCTCAGCTTCACTTTTCCCCGCTTCTCCGGAAGAATTCGCGCGCTCCGCGCGGATCTCCTCCCACAGCAGCGCCAGTCGTCGACACGTGAGACTGCGCTCTGAGTCCGGAGCGCCCGTGTGCGTGGAGCGGTGATCTAGAGACAGCCCGACGGAACAGGAGCCTTGGCACATGCCGTCCACCCCCTTGCCTAGATATTTCAGCACAGGAAACCCCTTCGCCGCTTTGTCGCCCACGCCATTGCAGTTCGCAGATCCGGTATTTGAGGGTGAGGCTTTTGGATCGGCGGCGGCTTCTAGCGCGTTCGAAATGTAGGGGATCCCGAACGTCTCGGCGACTTCGTGGCCCACTGCTATGTACAATTCGCCGCCAGCGTCGATGCGCAGGCGTCGCAAGTCCGCGGGTTGTACAGAGGATGCGGGGAAGAAAAGATCCGTCTCAGCCTCGCGACTCTCGTCGTCAAGAATGGCGACGCACTGGCCGGCCCGGAGCGCGTCCAAGGCTCTCTGGATCTGTTCTGACACTCCATTCTCGACGACGGAAACCATTGTAACGCGGAACGTATTCACACTTGGTTCTGGAACGTTCAGAAAAGGGGTGTTCAGAAACGTTAACGGGCTGCAGAGTTTTTTAATACTCGAGAAGGTAAGTTGTTCCCGCTGTTGCGAAATGAATAGCGACAAAATTGCTGGGCGATGACGCTTGCTAATAAGATGGTTTCACTGCTTCTGGTCTAGCTGGAGAACTCAGTCTGGTGGTGATGAAGACGGACAACTTGGGACTTGGGACTTGGGTGGCCTCTGCGTGGGAACGAGTCGCGCAACCGAAGATGGCGGCGACTTTGGGCTAGGAAGGAACTCATCTTAAACATTCAATGAGTATTATTGAAGCTGTGTTAGGTTTCGTTGAATACGAGATTATTGAATATTCGACTCTTTTGTGATTCAAAACCGTAAACGAAGACGTGAAAACTTTTGCGAAGGCCAGCCGGAGCCCGATTTGTTGTGAGGATGACAGCGTGGCACGACGATTTCCTTCTACCCGTTGACCAATGAAATCTTCGTATGAAGCCAGCGCAGACCAAACAGAACTGGCATCCTTGGCTCTCGAGGAAAACGGGGGATCAGAAGCTCTCGACTGTGTAATTGGACGATCTAGATCTTTGTGATCCTGCCCCCGCTAGTACCACAACTCGAGACCAAATGCGATATGCTGTATGTATTTCAAACATTTTTATGCAAAGTCTTGGTGTATTCTATTGATGTCATAAACGCGGATAACCAGCCTCCCTCCCTGCTCGTGTTGTTGTTCGTTACACCTTCATCCAGTCAATGGACGCCATAATGTCCAGCACTTCAAGAGTAAGTGAGCCATCAGATGCTGAGGACTGTAGTGTATTCAAATGTTCTCGATTAGAGCCCCCGTGAAAAACACAAGCTCTGGGGGCCTTTGTGGAAAACTCACAAACCCCAGGCAAACGGGAACATGTAGTCCCATATCAGAAGATTTGCATGAAAAGGGGCTTTTCTTCGCTAGTAGTCGTTTATTCCTGTCATATACGCACATTCGGACTGCGCTGTCTTAAAACTCTCGTCGCAAGGTTCGCCGCGTTGATCAATGTAGCAAGACTAACGGGCAGAAAATACCCGAAAAAAAAATGTAATTATGGCCGAAATATATGACAACTATATCTGTTTTACCCTGTTAGCGATATTATTGAGATGTCACCGTCGAGCTAGCCGGGAACCGCGCGACGGAATTTCGACGCAAGCGCGGTCATCAGAAACAAAAGTAAATATTGTATCGAGATTTCCGTCTTTATCATTTTCCGTGAATGTTCCGACTGGTTCGATTTGCGTTCTCTGATTGGCTGCGGAACTGATTTGTGCAATGATTCAGTCAAGATGCAAGAATTCGCGCCAAAAACGGGACTGAAAAGGAGGGGATACATCTAGGACTTATGTGAAAAAATCTATTCGACGAGAAAATGATACTCTTTTAGGAAGAGCCTCTAAGCCTGAACATTTGTACATGGATCGAGATCGAACAGAAACCGCAAAAGTGACTGCCGTGCTGAACCCACTTCTTGACCTGCCCAAGGGCGCGGCGAGCTCGGTGTGATGCTGGCAAGGAGGGGCGCATCCACCAATCCAAGTCAAGCAAATCCCGCTTTTCCCTGAACACCCGTCCTTCGCTACTGTATTCTCCCCAAGCCAAAACTCCCCATTTCCCCCAAATCCCCGCTTCCATCTCGAATTTCAGGATACGTACATCCCCGCATTCTCCCCTCACTTCCCCCCGTATGTTCAGCTCCGCCACCCCTTTTCCCGATCCATCATGGGCATGTACGGACCTTTATGTTCCAGCAGTGCATCAAAAGTTCAATCAATTTTTTCTCCACATTCCGTGACTTGGTTTTACAAGTTAGACGGAAAACAGCCAGCACCTCTCCCCGTGGAAAACGATGGAAATCTTTCAGAAATGACGGCGAAAGCCGCGAGTGTGGAGTTCCCTGCGCTAGGGGGCGTGCTGGAGCCCACTGAGGAGCAATTCGAGGAGGAGTTGGACGAGCTCGATGCGGAGATCGAGAAGCTCTTCACGGCCGACGATACCACCGCGCAGTCTGCGCTCGACGGTCTCTTGGCCATCGGCTCCTCCGCTCTCCTCTCCCCGCCACTTCCGCCCACTGTTGGCGCAATCCAGCCGGCACATGGCGCTGGCGGTGGGTTGATCAGCGCAAACGGCGGCGCGTGTCCTGGCGTGGGTTCAGGAAACGACGGTAGTAATGTGAAAAAGGCGTCGATAGATTCTCTTTTTTGGGAGTTGGATGACGATGGCGTGATTGAGGAGGAGGAAGTAGCCACTGGCGATGGTTTAAAAGGTTCAGATCTGCATGCTGCTGGGGATGACGAGACGGCGGACCACTACCCTACAGGTATTCCCATCAGATAAGGCGAATGGGTATGTTGTCCACTTAAATCTTCTTCTGTCTGCTCGTTCTTGTCTGGGGTGATTCTGTGCTTTTCTTGGTTTTCGTTCTTCTGTTACAATGCGCTCCTTCTCCTATTTCAATGCGCTCCTGCGTTGTGCCAAACCTGTTCCACGCTTCTCCATGTTTCTCACGGCGCTTTCTATCTCTGTAACGTATAGCAGACTCGTCGTGGCACCCCCTCCCCTTCACCCTTCGCTCCTTACGTCCTGCACGCCCTTTCAACCCCCCTCGGCAGCGGCTGACGCGGCGTCGATCTTCGAAGATGAGGTGGCGGAGATCCTCCGGGTCGCGCATCGCCAGGTAAGCGGTCTTAAGCTCGAGGCGGCATGGCTGCGCTCCGGGCTGCTGGCGCTGCAGAAGGACGTGCGCATGCTGCGCTCCGAGAACGACGCGCTCCAGGGTCAGCGGCGACGCGCGGATCAGCGCCTGATGCTGCTGCTGCGGGAGAAGGAGCTTGCGGAGGAGCAGCGCAGGGTGGCAGAGGAGCAGCGCCGCGCCGCGGAAGACGCGCAGGAAACGTTGCGCGGAGTGGTTTCCCGCGCGGTGGCGGAAGCGGCGGTGCTGCGGAGGCAGCTGGCGGTGTGGAAGCCGCCCGGTGGCGCGTGGGCGATGGCGGTGAAAGCGGGGAACTGTTGGGGCGGAGAGATTGGCGCAAGCGGAGCAGTCCGGGGGACAAGGGGAAGCCCGATTCACCGCAGCTTCAGCGGCAACTCTCTCCGCTCCAGTCTGGAGGGAAGTGGCGCTCCTCCGCTCAAGCTCGCTCGTGGCGGAAGCGCGCTCGCAGCGCCAGGGGGGGAAGATGTAACTACCGCCATCGCGCAATCAACGGGATGCACCGGGGCCGGGGGCCAAGCTGGTGGAGGCAGCAGCGCAATTTCCCCGTGGGCGGAGACTTCAGATGGTTTCGCAGGGGGGAAGGACAGCGCGCACCGCACCTCGCACGGTTTCGTGACAAAGGAAAGCGTCAGCCCAGCCTTTAAACCTTCGGCGGCATCTGGGGATATGTTTTTCGCGGCAGGCGGCGAGCTCCCGCGCCGTCTTGCGGAGGCGGGGCGGAGCGACAGCGGGGTGTGGGCGGAGGTGAAGCGGGTGGGCGCGGGGATGGGTCTGTTAATGGACTCTGACGTGGATGCTGACGAGGACGCGGCGCTGCTCCGCGAGGAGAACGCGCAGCTGCAGGCGCTGCTGCGTGAGTCGCAGTGCGACCTGCAGGCGCTTGAGCAGAACGTCGCGCGCCTCAAGCAGGTCGTCGCCGCGCAAGAGGCGGCGGTGGACGCGGCGGCGGTCGTGGCGGCCGACGCGGCGGCTTCTGCGGGAATTGGAGAGGGGGAGGCGGGGTTGGGGTTGGGGTTGGGGATTGGGGGGAAAGTTGAATGTGGGGGAGGCGGAAAGGTGAGGGGACTGGAGGGGGAACAGGCGGGCGATTGGGGAGAAGAGATCCGGCGGGAGAGAGAGCGGTTAAGAGAGGCGTGGGAGGAGGTGGAGAAAGAGAAGCAGAAGCTTGTATCTTTCCAGCAGCAGCTTGCATCAGGGACGGAATCGGAAATGCCACAGCCGCAACAGTGGCAGGCTAGCGGAAACGCAGCAACGGGCGGGTGGCAAGCCATCAGCGACACTGGCGACAACGCTGGCAATGCTGGCGACGCGGGCGACGCGAGCGACGATGGCAATGGTGATGACAGTGAAAGCGGCTGTATACGGATTGTGTGCGGTAGTTGCGGAGCTGAGGGAGTCATTCCAAGAAGCGTTGCAGGGCGGCTAGACGTGCTGGGTGCACTGGCAGGCGATAGCAGTGTGGGGGAGGGTGAAGGCAGTGACGGTGAACACGGTGCAAGGGCAGCGAGGCTGCTGGAGGCGACACAGAGACGCCACAGCGCGCCGAGCTTCATCCCTGGCCCCCCTGGTTCCGTTCTGACGTCTTCGGCGGATGGTACTGATGCTGTGACTGGTGGCACAGGAGAGGGCGGCAGCGGGGGTATCGCAGAGCCTCGCGTAGCGCTGAAAAAGGCTGTTTCTATGTCTGACGCGCATGCGGTGCAAGTGGGGGTGGATCTGGAGATGGTGCGGATACTGGAGCTGGAGGCGCAGAAGGAGCTGCTGGGCCTGCTGCACCTCAGCGAGGAGGAATCCAGCGCCACTGCTGCTTCTGAACCACAGCTCCAGACAGGAGGTGCAGAGGTGGATGGGGATGTGGATGAGATACCGGCTGAGGCAGCGGCCAATGCTGCTGCTTCTTCTCCTACTCCCACTGCTGCGAGTAGTGGCACCGTTTCCCTGGCTGGTGGAAATGTTGCTGATACCTCCTGTGGGAATGCTGCTAGTCAGGCTGGTGCAGCCTGGTCTGCAGAGAATCAGGGCCTGCCAGGTGGACCTGCCACTGTAACGGATCTGTGGACGGCTGCTGCGCGTGCAGCCACTCAGCTGCGGATGTCCCTTGAAGCAGCCCGTGAGGCAACAGGAAGTGGTAACCATGCGGCGACGCTGTCACCTTCCAGTCACACTAGGGGGACTGTTACCTGTGGTAGTGACGCTGGCAGCAGCACTAGTGGTGCTAGCACTAGCGGTGCTAACACTGGCAGTGTGACTGTTACTAAGGATAGTGTGAGCTCACCCGCTATCTCTTCTGCTGTGATCTCCGCCGGCCCTCCTGCTCTCACCACCACCACTACCTCCTCCCCCTCTGCAGCCTCGTCTGCCTCTTCTCTCGCTCCCTCCCACCCTCCTCTTCCTCCCCGTGCCCCCTCTGTGAGCTCTTCTCTCCACCCCAGTCACCCTGCATCCGCCTCCTCTCCAGTGCTCGATGCTATTCTTTCCGAGAACGAGCGGCTGAGGGGGGATATGGCGGATATGGCGCTGCAGAAGCGGCAGACTGTGTCGCATCTGTCCTCGTTATTAGACGACCTGTGGCAGCAGCACCGCGGGCTGCAGCGGTGCTTGAAGGAGATGCGGGCGGTGAAGGAGATTTGCGAGGGATGTGCGGTGTGCGAGGCGAGGAGGCAGGCTGCTAAAGCTGACGCGATGCTGTGTGGCTGGGGATAGGAGGCGAGGGTAGGGAATCATGGGGCATGTCAGGAGGAAGTACTGTGTGGAAGCAAGGTCGAAGGGGATGGAGAGGAGATCATAATGAGGGGTAGTAAAGAGGGTGGTGGTGATGTAGTGAGGAGGGGGCTGGGGGGGGGGGGAGAGGAGAGGAAGGCGTTGAGGGGGAGGGAGAGGGAAGGGGGAGGTTTGAATGGTTGTTAGAATGTTCTAATCTATGTTATTTATAAATATGATACTAGATTGGCTGTTTATGTTTTCTTAAATGAACAGGTGCTGATTCATGTACCCGTTGTTCCCACCGCCTATTTTGCAGCCTCTGTGCTCGCCCCTGTACGTCCCCTTGTGGCCGGGAACTTGCAACCGACTAAACTACACCTGTTCTCCGATATTTCCACACCCTAAACTTTGATTCTTCCCAGACACCCTACATGGTTGAAGGTTTGATGAGACGGACGCCCTGACATTGCGGGTCTATCAGGTAATAACCACTAGCAGGGCCCTAGATATCAGACTTAGGAGTCTGATTCAGAGTTTTTAGACTTTTTTTTTGTACCTAGTCTGAACTCAAAGAATTTTTTTATGCACCCTGTCTGATTTTTCAGAGTTTTTTTAACTGACTTGTCTCAAATTTCAGAGAAGTCATAGCAGTGTAGGCTGAGCCTCAAACTTGTATCGGGGGTCCACCCGGTCCACTCTCAAACCGGTTATACCGTACAGGGGTTTCCGCCGACTGAATGAAAGGTTATCGGAACGAAACTTCCTCGAAACTTTTTTTCGATACACCCACGTGTGTACGGGCCAGCACTAACGATTTCCTCCGGATAAAACTGCTCGAGTAGGGGTACCAGGATACACTACTTTGTCGACGCTATCTCGAGTGTCGAATTCATTCGGGGCTTATAATAACCCTTAAATTGTGAAACTAGATAGCCAATCGCACATGGCCAAAACGATTTTAGCGAATCGCACATGGCGAAAAGCGAATTGGTGCAACCGAAAGCCGTGTCACATATGAGTCTCGTACTTCAGCAGAACCGCACATCATTTCCCCTTCCCAAACCGAGTCAAATTTTTGAATCCGCGACTTTAGGAGAGAATATTCCGCGCATATAGGCTGTACACAGTTGAAAACTCTTGCTGCAGCCAGCGCGCCCAGTACAGAAAAGTTCCGAGTGATACCGTGCCTGCTGCCAGGTCAGCCGATTGGGAGCTTGCCACACTTGGCACTTGCACGAGGCCATTGTCTGATGCCCACACCTCGACTCGACCCTGGCTGCTCAGGGACCCTAACTCTTTACAAATGACCAATCAGAGTGCCCCATTTCTGGCCGCACAATTGCGTTGGTATGCTGTAATCAGCTTCAATGCTATTATAGCTACCATATGCTGTTATGAAACTGCATGAACATCTTAAAATTTGAAGTAACTCTCACAGTTCAGACAAAAGAAGTTGTACTTGTCTGAATTTACATACTAAAAAAATAGGTAACTCTGACAGCCAGACTAGGAAGAGGGGTGTACTCTGAGGCGTCAGACTACCTCAAAACGAATCGAGGGGCCTGACCACCAGGTCAAGGCCTTTCGAAACTCGAACTTTGTAGTTCGAATGAGCGGGGAAAATTCCAGTGCCAGATTGTTCCTGCGTTAAGCTCGCATTGAGATTGTGTTACATTAACCCTGAAAATTCTTCGAGCGTTGCTAACTACCTTCGAAATCGGTTTTTTCGAGGGTAGGTACCCCGGGTCGTGAAGATAAAGGGTGTGGAAATATCGGAGAAGAGGTGTAGTTGAAGGTTATTGAAATGATTTTTTTCGAAAGTGTGCAACACTTTCTAAAAATGTGTATTGTGAAAGCGCAGCTGACTGTAACGAAGCAATGCAACGGCGAATTACAATTCGCCGAGTACATAACGAGGGTTGGAGGCCATTCGGCCTCCACCCACGACTTCATTTCGGAACTTTGCAGTTCCACTCCCCACCCACCCACCCACCCTAGTTGTATATTTGTATAATCCATCCATAGTTGGACGAGAAAGTTGTATTACTGCAATTATAATGAAGCCCGTTGCCTTTGCAAGAACAGAAAGCAAGCTTCTCATGAGAAGATTGAAACGAGAATGAAATGACTAAGAGAAAGTTGGGTACAAGTACAAACCCTAGAAAGCTGTACCCCATATGTGCTACCCCACTATAGCCTACAGCAACTAAGTCATATAAATCTGACACACCCCCATACGCAAAGTGGGGGAGAACAAGGGGTCAGAGGACCAGTCAAGCAAAGCAAAGCAAAGCAAGCTCAGGGTGGATCACAACGTCACCACACAGTCCGAGCACAAGTTCAAGGCCACAGGGCCAGTTCACATGCAGGAGTATAGATATATAAAAGCTAGACAAGCAAGAGCAGGTATAAATATAGGCAACAGTACAAGCAGCATCAAGAGGTGAGCAAGTGAGGCAAGACAGGCACAAGACCCAGCTGCGTACAGAAGCGCTAATGATCACAAGGCGCAAGTGCCTTGGTGAAGACATCAGCAGTGTTGGCCTCAAAGGCCACGTAGGCAAGCCGCAACTGACCACGCTGCTGTAGCTCACGAGCAAGGAAGTAGCGAAGACCAATGTGCTTTGTTCTGTGCTCCAGTCTCTGCTCTCGACACAAGGCCAGCATGGCCTTGTTGTCTACGTACAGGACTGGAGGAGAACGAGGCTGCTCTCCAAGGTCGGTCAGCAGGTAGGTGAGCCAGCGAAGCTCCTGTGCAGCCATGGCCCCTGCGTAGATCTCAGCCTCACAACTGGAGCCAAGAACAGAAGACGAGCGAGTAGCCCGCCACGAAACAGAGCCAGAAACCAAGGCTGAAGGTGTAACCCTATGACGACCGCTGCGTAGCCTGGTCGTCAGCCCAAGAAGCGTCCGCGTCCCCAGTGAGGACCACTGGACTCCGCCCTCCAAGCACTAGCCCCATGCCCGACGTACTGCACAAGTAGCGCAACACCCTCTTTGCTGCAGCCATGTGCTCTGGTCGGTGTCTCCCAGGAGCAACATAGCATGCAAGAATGCTCAGAGGGTATGCAAGGTCAGGTCGAGTGCAGGTCATCAGGTACATGAGGCAGCCAACAAGCTCTGGGTACGGGCCACTCGGCTCTACGGACTCATCCGAAGGCAGAGCTGAGAGCGATTGGCGAGTAGACAGAGGAGTGGCCTGAGGCGAGGAGTACGTGAAGCCGAAGCGCTGAAGGACCTGCTGCACCATGTGTGACTGAGTCAGGGTAATGGTGCGGCGTGATCTGTCCCGGGTGATCTGCAAGCCAAGGTAGCTGCGCAGTTCACCCAGGTCAGTGCACGTGTGTCTCTTCTGCAGCTCGGACTTCACGTAGGCAAAGACCAAGTCGTCGACGTACACGAGGATGTAGAACGGCGGCAAAGAGGTGTCGGTGCGCAGAAATAGCGACGGGTCGGCAGTAGAAGGAGCAAACCCAAGAGCCGCAAGCATAGTCCTCAGTGTGTCGTGCCACTCACGTGGCGCCTGGCGGAGAGCGTAGATTGGACGCCAGAGACTCCACTGGGTACCAGGAGGGAAAGACCCAGTGAAGCCAGGTGGGCGGCGCAGCTAGATCTCCTCGTGCAGGCTGCCCTGCAAGAAAGCTGTGCTGAAGTCGAGAGAGTGCAACTCGTAGTCACGGTGAGCAGCAACGTGCAGCAGTACCCGAAGAGTGGTCATCTTCGGGGTGGGAGAGAAGGTCTGAAAGTAGTCAACTCCCTGCCGCTGACTGAAGCCACGAGCCACGTAACGCGCCTTGAAGACAGGCGGAAAACCCGGCGGCCGCTTCACCCTAAAGATCCACATGCCACTGACGATGTTCGCCCCAGGAGGGGGGACACCGTCAACGTAGGTGCCTGTGGACTTCCAGGAAGCCATCTCTGCATCCATAACTGCCTGCCACTGAGAGGAGTAGGGACCCTCTATCGCCTCCGCGTAAGAGCGCGGAGTCGGGATGTCAAGTGCATCCGGGTCTCCCTCAGGGGTAAGCAGTACCGACACGAGATGAGGTGAAGCAACTGCCAGACACTGGAACTCCTCTTGCCTGTCCTCAAGGACGTCTGTGCCAAGGGCACACTCACCCCCGACGGACGGAGGACAGACAGACTCAGACTCAGCGACAAGACTAGCAGCGTAGTCTAGGCGACAGCGAGCAGCAAAGTCGACGAGCTCAGCAACGAGGGCAGACGCAGCAGTGGACTCGAAAGAAGGGTCAGTGACAACAGAAGCAAGGAGACGCGTGACACTAGGACTGGCAACACGAAGAGAGTCCGATTCCGGGTCGGCAAGCGCAGGAAGAGAGGACTCGGGAGGAGAAGGTAAAGGGGCACGCAGAGGAGCAGTGGACGGACGCAGAGACATCCTGCGTGTGCCAGGAACAGGAGGAGGACGCTGACGCGAACCACGACCACTAGCGCGAGCAGCACGGACAGGCGACGTAGGGCGAGACGAAGGCTCACGATGCTCAGCAAGACCTCCAGTAGGACCAGTGTAGGGAGAAGGAGCAGGCAAAGGGGAGGTAGGCTGCAACTGTAATTGGGACGGGACAGGCTGTGGACACTCTAAGGGAGCAGGAGGACCAGTAGAAGGTGGAAGACCAAGAACCTGCTGCAGGAGTGGAACGAAGTACGGTCGAGGCCGAGTGGTGACGCCAGAACAGCCGGGACAGCACCAGTACCCCCAGTAGGAGCACGCACTCCAGCAGCACCTCCAGTAGCTCCAAAACCTCCAGCAGCACCAGGAGCACCCCCAGCAGGACCGCCAGTGGTAGTCTCAGCGGCAACACCCTCAGCAGCACCAGCTCCAGTCAAAACTGCAGGCCCAGCAACTCCAGTACTCCCAGTACGAGCACCTCCGGGACCCGCGACAGCAGCACCCTCAGTAGCCGAAGAACCTCCAGCACCAGCAGCACGGCTCCAGCGCCGGGCAAACTACTCGCGCAGCTCCTGGGGAGAGAGTGGCT